CCCAGCATCAATAACAATGAGTTCGTTCTTTTGTCTCAATCACTTGGTTTCAACCCACCATTATTTAGTTCATTAGTAGCAAATGACCTGGAACTTTTACAAACTTTTTGTATTTGCAAAACCGTTCTACATTCGTAGCAGTGAAACTGAGACGAACTTTGAAGGTCGTGAAGACTCCAAAGACATAGAAGAAGAGTTCAAAAGATGAGAACAAGCAAAACTCTTATGACATACTGGTTTTGCTTCTATATCCTCAGATCTTTGAAGCTTCTGTCAAAAGAACTGATGTCCTAAACTTTAGATGACTCACTCAACAAGAGGCTAGAAACTCTCCGAAGCATAGTAGAAGAGACCAACACAAGCCGTTAACCTTATGATCTCTATAAACAAATCTGTATTCAATTTGTCAATGAATCTGGGAAACGAGATATGCCGTTTAGTATATTATTAAAACTTTTAGAAATAAAAAGCTGCGCAGAATCGTTTGGTCAAGTTGTATTATGTGAGGATATGAATACTGTTGTCCACGTGTTTATTTGAACTGCCAGGCTGTTTAAAGCGTAAAAATTGGTCCATCGTCGGTTCGCGTATTTCGTCGTACGACGATTCGGTGGGTTTCGGTTTTATTTTGCAACTTTCGTTGTGGAGAAATTTTAAGCGACTTAAAGTCTGCTGCTAAATTATGATTCCTATAGTAAAAAACTTCGATTGTGCCTAAAAGTGTAGAATATTCATTTTAGTTCCTTTTATATCGTCATACTTTCCGATTACCGTTTACATATTACTCTTAATTCGAAAGTCAATAAGTATTTCGTGAAACAACTGTTTTGGTTCTACAAAATTTTTATTTAAGTCCAAAATATTGAGGTTAAATGGGCACTATATATCCACATTTACGTATAAACTCTAACTTACGACAACCCAGTAATTGTTTTTAGTAGGTACTTTAAGCTTCATAAACACCTAACATTTTGTTAGTAATATTTTGGATTACTATCCAAAAGATCAGGTAACCGGCCAACCACCAGTTCAGGTCATCATCTCAATGCAAAGGATAATGTATGATTGGGTCATTAAATCTAGGGATACATTTCTTCTGAAATCTGCATTATATTAGGTGTGCTTATCCACTTATTTAGTCCGGCTGACTATTTTCGAACATCTAGCCAAAAACTGGCAACAAGACAACTTCATTAACTGTGGAAACCACTAGAATTTGTCATAAAATATAGAAATAACGTGACCATTTATCCCTGTAGAGACTAGTCACTTCGTTTACTGGTTGTCAGTTCCTCCACTAGGGGGCTGCACTTCTCAGGGTTATACTTTAATTTGGTCGCTAATAGAATAACTAAAAACAATTTCTCAGCAGCCTTGGTTTTCTCCAACCACTTTCGGTTGAAATAAAACGGTCCTGTCAGTGTTCCAAACCCCTATTACTATTAATATCTGAGTAGCACAGTATAGACTACAAGTCACTTAGACTTTCTTTCTCACTAACTGCATTTAGTGATCGAAGACAGTCATCAGTCCTAAGTTTGGACTTAAGAGATTCAAATAAACGGATCATTGAGTGAAAAGTTAATAATGATACGTTTTTTGTGATATCCTAGTAAGTATATACTTTTATTTTCGACTTTTCTTTGCAGCCGGTAAATCTTTATTTGTTTACCCTGAGAGAGTGACTGACGAAACGTCAGAAATACAGATTTCCGCGTATTGTAATGTCTCCAAAAACTTAATTATTTTCTTGTTGAGTAACAGTTTAAAATGATTATCAGTGGCACAAATGCATACACACTTAAATCTTAAGCTTCAATATCTTGTACTGTTTATTCCTTGGATTTATGCCGTCACGTTCAGTTTTTCTCACATATAACTATTCTGGCCAGTCAGTCAGTTGCAACGTAGGACTTCATACATACGTACATCAGTTCAATTGCCATACCACATCAGCACAGAGACAGCTGTCAATTCAACTTCCATAGTAGTAGAGGTACTAGAAGTATTAGCAGTAATCGGGGATTAGGGTTTGTTGATGTTATCCAAGAAGTATAATCTAGTAAAATAAACTTAAAAAGAAAACGATAAAGGTGATGAGTAGTTCAGGAGATTAGGATTTGAAAGAACAAAGAATGAATGCACCTGCGCCATTGCTAACGATTTTGAGCCATTTCGCTCAAGGTCCCTAACCGTCGGTTAGTATCGTCTCGTGGACCCCGACCAGGTAGTTTGCATCTACCTACATGACTCTCCACTTGTCAGTGACCTCATGGATTTGTTCCATGTTTTGGTTTGCTATTTCAACTCTTTTCCCATTCATTCTGCTCCATCTCATTATGGCGCAGGTAACGCATGTTTGTGCAAAGTTATATTGATTGTGGCTCACTGACCCCATCAACTCCGACGCATTTATTCACGTAGTTATAGTATGCAGTATGCACCTCCAACAGATGATAACTTTGCAGAAAAGAATCTGCAAGCCTTTCCGTAAACAAGAGGTCTGGTAGTAGCGTACTGGTCAAAAATCGTAACATGGTTTTCCAACCATTAGTGTGTAAACTTGGTGCATTCGCGAAAGGCCTATCGTAGTTATTAGAGTGATCTGTCTGGTTACATTATGCAACTCCCTAACAGTACTTGTGGCAGTATCTGTCATTGAAAGGAGTAACCAATAAGTACACTAACCTTATACAGACTCTGTACTCGAAAACTGCTGGTTGAGTCTGAGCTTATGGCGAACTTTCATTAGTATTGATTACTTCGAATGGTGTTCGTCAGGTTTATCCACTTTCCCCATTCTTATTTAACGTTGTTATTGACACGCTTTTAGAGACGACACTTTCATCATTTGACTTTCAAGTATAATTTTTTTCTGGAGATTCACTTATTGAACTAGACTATGCAGATGATATAGTCCTATTTGGTTAAGACGCTGAAAAGGTGGTCTTCCGGCCATCTTAAGCAACAATGCAAAATATTACCTCATGATTGGCTTGCTTCGGCACCTGAACTGATGATAAGGAGTGAAGTAGTTGATGTTGACCTTATCTTGGGAGTCTCATCAGTCCTGATAGTCCGGTGCCTGACAAAATCCCAGCACGGATACAAAACGCTTGATTGGCATTTACCAACTTACCTCACTTATGATGTTGGCGAGATATCCGTCTACCATCTTTACAACCATGGGATGTGAACTGGTGATTGCGTCTCTGTGTTAATGGGGTATGGCAACCTGAACTTATGTACGAAGTCCTACGTTGTAACTGACTGGTTAGAGACTGGGTGACATGGTTCGAAATCATTTGCAATGGCGCAGGTGCATCCATTCTCTGTGTTCTCTTAAATTCTAATCTGAATTCCTCATGATAATCTTACGCTCCTCAAGTTTATTTCACTGGGTCATACTCCTTGAATAACATCTTCAAACCCTAATCTTTCCGATTATTGCTCATACTTCTCCTACATCTACCACTAGTCAGTCGGTCAGTTACAACGTAGAACTTCGTACGTGCGTACATCAGTTCAGGTTGCCATACCGCATTAGCACAGATATGCAGCTGTCAGTCCAAATCCCATAGTGGTAGCGGTAGTAGAAGGGATTTTCCTTGACAATTCAATCTTAGTGTGCTAATATGGTACCGCAACTTGAACTGATGTACTTACGTACAAAGTTCTACATTCTTGTTGGCTGACTTCAATTTAAGCATGCCAATGAGAAACTCCTAATAAAACTCACTTGTGCCAGGTCCTGCATTTTCTCTTGCTTATTAGGTGGGTCGCAAAATGAAAACTTTCTTAAAAATCACCAATTCCTCCTAATCAAGTGATTCAGAACCACATTAATTCATACTAAAACAGACCTACTCACCTCAAATGTTTTTTCAAAGCATTTCTACGTGGCTGCGTCACTAGTTTCATCGATGTTGGGTCCTCTTAGATGTAAATCCCAGTAGCCTAATGTCGCTCGTACAGCTTTTGGTCCCCACTTCTAATTTCATACGAATTAAGGAAGCGAATACATTCGTTATGGTAGGCTTTATAGGGTACTGTATTTTGTTCGCTAGTTAGTCATGTTTAACTTAAGACGTGTAACAAACGTCGAAGATAAAATTAACAAAAAATTATGGTAAATACGTTGAAATAGTAGCAGTTTTCACAGTAATGAAAAGAGTACAGATAAGGAATGTGATCCGAAAAGCGAATTAAATTTGCAATACAAAAAGTTTACGTTAACTCTGGAAATCGAAATCTCGATTTTGATGAACAGTATACACATATACAATCACACGACGAATTTGTATCCACTCCGTCAAAGGTTACCACGAATATCACATTCCATTAACCAACACGGACTAATAGTCATTGGCAACATCTACTGGTAATTTAGTTGACTCAAGGTTGGTAACTATGACGGTCATATAAATAACTAATTACAACAGAATGAATTAATTTGGAGGAATTCTTTATTTGAAAAATCACTAGGACTGGTCATTTTCTTCCATGGGCTTTATGAACTGATTGATGTGACGTTATGTGAGTTTCGCGTAGTCTGCTAGGTGGCCACATTTAGGACACCATGCTAGAAAACAGTATATGGTTCAAACCACTGGCTTTGATATGGAAAATATAATTTAATCTTATTTAAACATTCGTTAAATATCGATAAGGAAGATTTCAGACGTTTAGAAATGCTTGTTTAACGACTAATTATTGACGTCCACAATACTATAATAGGTAGTGTTGTGGAAGGAGTCACCTACGTGAATGAGTCACTGAATATTTATGATATAATATTTGTATATATGGAAGCTCAACTCTTTCGTGTAAATCTATAGTTTACTGTTTTATGTAAGTGTTTTTTCAAACTGACCAATCACACGTTAGTTGGATATCATATAATACACTGAATACGTATACCCGACCACCGACTGCCTCGACGAGCGATGTTTGATATATAGGTAGGTGTAGACTACCTGGTTGGGGTTCACGAGACGATGGGAATCCTTCACAAAGGCGCAAATTCTTCTGAATTGCTCATGACCGTTTTTTCCTCTTTCCTAAATTTATTCCTCTGGGATATAGTTCTCGAATGATAGGTTCGATCCCTAATCTTTTCCACCACGGCTAATACTATTACAACCTCGACTGTTATGGGATTTGAATTAACAATTCGATCTGTGTGTGCTAATGTGGTATGGCAACTTGAACTGATGTACGTACATTCGTACAAAGTTCTACATTATAGCTGACTGACTACTATAATAGTACAAACAGATAAAATCAAGGACGGTTTTGTGATTTATTGCATCCGAGCCTAATCAAAAGTTCCTTTGACGTTCAAAGTGAACCAACACCGGTTATTTCTGAAGTTACAGGATAGTTAATAGGCTAGACTCAATGGTAAAATTGTTATCTTTGTTTTTCAGATAAATCTAACATGGTTACAGCTGTTCAGCCAATGTTTGGTCTATTAAAACGACTCCATCTGCATCCAATGGAAAATGCTTTAAATGAATTAGGTCCACAAAATTCCCTTCTTCAATCAATCAAGTTTGTAAGTTTTATGTTTCTTAGTCATATTTAAGTAGAAAGCTCAACCATTCTTGTTTCGTAAAACCAAATCTGAAGAAATACGACGTGATCACGACAATATGGGTCAGAAAAGACCATCGCCTTACCTTTCTAATACAGACCTAAAAGCTGCTAAACGTTGTAAGTTTTGTTTGCTGTTTATCGTTTTCTCGTTAACTTCAAAATAGTCACTTAGTTGCCTCATTCTTTTATGTTTGAAATGGTGAACAAAACACTGATCGATAAGTGTGATGCACAGCAACACGATGTGATCGAGCGTTATGTGCTCGCCATATCGAATTATTGACGTTAGTCTACGAGTTTAATATAACCGGCTATAACTGTCCGAGGAATAGATTTCCATTAGTTAAACGGCATATTTATATACAATATGTTACATGTAAAAACAAACGTAATTGGGAGTCAATTGAAATAAGCGTTTAGGAGATGCAGGCTTTATAAGTCTCTCAAACTATGGTAAGATTAATGCCTGTCTATCAACCTTCTTACCCTTCATATAAGCTTAAGTATAACGTTTGCTAGTATGAAAATTCTTCATCTCTGTACCATTTCAAATAAAGTAGCGGATTCTACTTCTTTTGTAGGAAATTTCATTGTTATCACCTATATTTTACCATCTCGATCGCTTTCTAAAAATCAAGGATATGCGAAACTCTAACTCATTCAGATACACGATATTTCATCATCCTCCACAAAAAATGTTTCTAAACCAGCTAGTGGGATAGACTACTATAGAAAGTAGAATCAACAATTATGATCTCTATTTCATTCAAATGTTCTGTTGTATCTGATACATCAACACTCTTTTTAAGTACATTAGTACGATGTTATTGTTACGTATGCACGTAAACATATCATTTCGATTTACTTGAACTATTACGAGTTTACCTTAGTCGGAAAACGAGAGCGAGGATTGAGGATCCGGCAACACGACATGCTACTCTAATCCGAGTGTCCCAACCCCCTACTGAATAAAAGAAGAAGACTTGATATGAAGTAGAAGCTGTATTCTACAAGCATCCAGAAAGTACGAGGTCCGAGTCTGGAAGAGAATCAGGATCCCAGACTAGGGATACGGGTCCGGGTCATGAAACGTTACAGATAATGCGTATTTATACATTTAGGTCGAATAGAAAACAGCATTGAAGTCTGTGGCATTTACAGTTAAGGTGGTCAATAGGAAAAACATTTAAAGTGACATTGACAGTCAGGACAAACAATAAGAAACAACATTGGAGTTCTTGATACTGATATGTAGGACGACCATAAAATTGACCTGTAGGAATTGACCAATAATTCTCTTAAGATATTGTATGAATAACCTAACAGTTATTGTTTCGAATTTGATTAATGCTGAATAATACTTTCGTCTTTGCTTTTCATGAGTTACGCAAAATTAGTATGTAATAGATTGAACCTGATTCTCAGAATTTTCATGCAGAACATTTTGAACTATTAGTCCCATCAAGTGTGTACAGTCTGATGACTTTTTAGTACATCTGTACAAATTCTGACTAGATAATCCGACCTTTTCACGTAAACCGTATCATTCTGACAATAATTATGTCTTTCCTTTGTTTACTTCGATTACCATCACTATATACTTTCTTTTAGCCCGCCGTGTTACAAAATTGACAGATACAAGTTTAAGTCTCGTGGGTGTAAACTTTAAACATAATTATGAAAATTCGAACGCAAGCTATTCAACTTTATCTCCTGAGGCACCTCCATCAAATCTACCATTCTTTCCATCTCCTACTTCAATCACTTCTCCCAACCTTTCTACATCTAGTGTTTCATATTCGTTACGCATCCCGAACCCTAGCGAAACTCCAATAATTTCTCATTCAAAATATCTATGTTCCCAAAATTCCTCACAACCAGCTTATCAGTATCGATCTCATGTTACTTCTGTGGTTAAAACTAATCCTGCAGATTGTCAAACACGTGTTTTTACACGTAAAACTGAATCAGTGTCTGATGAGAATCGTCTTGTAACTGGAGAGGAAACACTCACTGCTCCCATTTGTACAAAGGATCCCCTCCATTTGAGTAGAACAATTAGCCATCCTAGTGGACAGAATCCCATAGATATTCAAAACTTGAGTCGCCCACGCAATACTCGAAAATTGTCTCCCGTCTCTTCAATATCCAAAAGACCTGGTACTTCAAATGACAAGTATGATGCTAAATTAAAAAATAAAGATAAAGTGATGAATGAGTGTAAAGAGCCATCAAAGCGTCGAAAATCTATTGATCAGCTTGTTGAACCATCGATTCATGGATTACCAGACCCTGAAATTTCCACTAAACCTCGTACACGAAAACCGACTCAATTTTTACAACTTAATACACAAACTACCGAATCTTCGTGTAATGATCGAAAGTCTACCTATCTTACTACTCAATCATATTATTATATGCCAGATTTTACTAACCGTCATCTCCGAAGTCCAGAAACTGTTCATGCAACCGAGTCAAGAGGTATACCAAGTGTGTCCGATTCAGCAGTTCTTATTGAAGGTAAGTTATTCCTCTACTTTTCAAGCCAATTTATAACAAAATCATATTTTCACCGTTATTTCGTTTACTTTAAACTCTGCAAGATTATCTTTAAACTTAAGGACTAAAAGAGAAATAAAAAGTAGTGCCCGAGTGCCGACTGCATGTAACTCATCAAATTTGTAGGCTCAAATGACGGCTTCACCAAAGTTATGTATATATAGCTGTCATTAATCTCATCAAACTTACCAAAAATCGCCGTAATCTACTCTGCTACTCCTATAATCATGGTAACATTTTTAAAACTAAAGCTTTTAACTTATGTAACTCCAGCTTATTGTAAGTTCATTTGCTTAGTTACCCAAAGTGAAGTAAGTGGTGATTATCGAACTTGAGATCCACTGGTTTAGAGCCAAGGTCTTTTAACATTAAGCCACTAGCCTATAATTCTATCGTCAGTATCGTCATGAATTGCTGCTATTTTTATATTTGCTCTCTCGATGCCCCTCATCCTTTAACCATTGATCATTTACGATATACAGAAATCACATCGTTCTTCCACAGGATCTTGAGACAAAAGTAGATCCGTGTACAAAAGAACTCGGCCGCATAAGCTTCAGAAATAATTTGTAACTAAAATTCCCCTCCATACAAAATTTTAATCTTGCACATTCCTTTATTTAGTTCCTAGTTGGCGTATTCTACCTATCCCAGGTGCGGATAATTATCTGGATAATTCTTGTGCAGAAAAACATTCCAAAACATGCTCCACAAAATCTCAAGCCAGAAAGAAATTGACAGATATGAGCTCTCAGAAATCACATAATCTCCGCGCTTTACGATCCAATTTACAAAGTACTAACTCTGTACAGTCAACTAAAAATGATTCAACTTCAGAAGTTAGATCAAAACACAGATCTGGATCGTGTCAGACACAAAAAGAACGTTCCCAAATTGCAGAGCCCATTAAATCAGTTAATGTTTTAGATGAAAACCTATCAGATGCAGTATTCCTTGCTCGCCATTCACGTTTAGAAATTGAGGAAGTTCGTCATGAACGCTTATCTCGTCAGCGTACTGCAGAACAGGAACTAAAACAACGTTTGGAAGAAAGAGATCAAGCTAGTTGGGTAAGTAAAAAGCACTGTATATACTGAGTTATCAAAGCTAATGAAAAAAGTTGAATTTGTTCATATTTCACACATATTTCACTGATATCTCAGAATTTTATAGGGTTTGCTTGTTTTCATGATATGAGAATATGTTTACTATATATAGATTAAACGTCTCAACAAATCTTTTGACGATAATCGTATTTTGCCAAAATAATTACTTTCAGATGGGTGGTGATAAGGTGCCGTACAGAATTAATTCACTACATTTCATAGCTGTATTTTTAAATCTTGATTCGTTAGTGCAGTCCTGTAGCTATTTGGCTTTATAAAGTAGGGTTTTTGTGATTTTATGGACGGATTTCCGGCTGTTATAACGAAAAAGAATTTTGATCGATAGACTATTCATTAATACGATATGGGTGAGTGATTGATGCCTACTCATGATACCCGGATTATTGATGTTAAACTGTTGGAATCAAAGACAAAACTACTGACCAATAGAATAAGTTTTCCTGTCTATTAAAGTAATATGTTCATATGCAAAATAACGGGACCAAACATTTTAGGTGATTTTGTAAGTCATTCATTCAGCACTTGTCGTGCTCGTCACTTGATTTGCTTGAAACTATTACGAGTTCACCTTAGTCGATAAACGAGAACGAGAAAGTGAACCAGTGACACGTTAGGCTACTGTGATCCGCTGCCCCAACTAACTGAAGAAAAAGTCTTGATATGGCGTAGAAAGTGTATTCTACAAACACCCAGCAATTTCAATGAATTCAAGCATACAAATCGCGTTTATTTTGTACATCATAGAAACGTCCTTGGGAGAGTCACAAAATAGCTTACTAAAATAACACACCAACCAATCACAGCCAGGGATTTTCCTGGTGGGAAATGTGATCTCAAGGTCAACTGATCAGCCCGTGAATAAAATTCAAAATTAAGACATTTATCAAGCGAGTTCTGGGGGATCTAACGTCCCCAACACCACTAAATAAGAGCCTAATTGTTAATCCCATTTTTCTTTGTATTCGACCGGCTGCCTTATTATTTCATTTCTAATGGGCAGAATAAGTCTAGTTTTCTGTTTTCAACAGACGGTTTCCACTCACTGCAAATATTAAAACGGGCTAAGGACAACGGTTTATCATTAACCATATTTATTTCAACGCTTCAATAAACTAAAACTAATTCAAACTCTCTTAAGAAGCAAGTCATTAGTGTGAGACAATTAAAATAAAAACCTGTAAAATTCGTTAATTTTTTTTGCACTGTATGTATGCAGAGTAGACTGTTCTCCTCATTCAGCATTTTCACACTCTTATTTTATGAAACTTTCCCATATGCATTCCCTTAAAAATAGCACAAGAGACAACCTGGTCGTTTGGATCCACTTCTGAAGTATAAACCAGCTAATCGGATGCCAACTCAGTTAAACTATGCATTGAAACAAGGTTAGAAAATATTTTTTTTAATAAAAATACATTTTTATTCTGCCTCTTTTGGCTTATTACTCAAGTTCAAAACGAACGTGTTTTGATCCAGCAAAAATTATAAGCTGTGTTGTTGTAAATCATTGAATATTTTATTTTTGTGATCAACCTAAGACGTCAATTGTATGTTATGTATTGTTCAGTTGAATTCAGTCCATTAAGACAGGCATCTAAAATTTTGTAGCTATGGTGGAGGATTGTATTGGAGTTTCGTTCTCTAAGCTGGATGATTTGCTTATGGGTCTTTCATTTTTCTCCCACTGAACAACATCATCAGCACAAACTTCAGCTACAGAAGTCAAGTATTCGAATTTCTCTACGTTTGACCCGTAGCTTGTTCTGTTAACCTCGATTTTGACTGGTTTCTGTTGACCGTAAACCTGTCGTTGTTTGCACCCTTGTTTTGATTGTATCCCCCTTTTGATATGTTTCTTGTTCGTATGTTTGCTGATTGGTCGATAAATTGGGTCAATGTCATTATGTTTTTTGATTGCTGATTGACATGAATACCAAGCTTTTAAAACTTCTCTAGTGTTCTTCGTGCTCCACCTATCCAGTATTTCCACATTGTTCCAATCGAATGTATATCCATATGTTACGCATGAACGTAAACATGTCATTGATATGCTTCAATTATTACGAGTTTACCTTGGTCGGAAAACAAGAACGAGGATCCGGTGACACGACATGCTACTCTAATCCGAGTGTTTCAACCCCCCACTGAATAAAAGAAGTAGAACCTGTATTCTACGAGCATTCAGAAAGTACGACGTCCGAGTCCAGAAGAGAATCAGGATCCAGGACTATGGATACGAGTCCGGGTCATAAAACGCTACATTTAGGTCGAATAGGAAACATCTTTGAAGTCTGTGACATTGACAGTCAGGACGACCAATGGGAAGCAACATTGAAGTACGTGACACTGATAGCTAGGACGACCTTTGTATTGACTAACAGGAATCGACCAATAGAATATACACTTATGAAATGATTCTTTGTGGGATATTTGGTGGATATCCTAACTCCATAGTTGTCCGTACGCGTATTGTTATAGGCTAAGAAATGTCATGGCGTTTGGTTGCTAATTGATGCTCACGCAAACGAAGCTAAAGAGGACGTCCACTTTGTCCTATGTAGTGTTTTTCACAATCTGAGCATTTTCTTTTGTCATTCTGTCCTTCGGTCTACATAGCAACGAAACACCATCACAATAAAAGAAACATATATATTATCAGTGTCAAATTGTATGCACAAAGCTGGTAAATTTTAAAATCTGTGCACACTTAAAATTCGATAGGGATCAATGATTATTTTTAACTGCTGAATAGATTAAAATTAAGTGTTTAGTAGAATAATACTTTTAAATTACATCAAATCACTCCAACTGTTCCACTACTTGAGTTCGATTGGCGTAACTCAATTCACATTTTTACCAATTAATTGACTGTTTCTACTGAGAAGAACACCCAACTTTACTGGAATAGCATTGTTAGCATATTCATAAAAATATCCCAAAAATTTATTCTGTTAAGTGTAATTCTATCATTAAACGTAAAATCGTATGTTTTTACACTTTTCACATGTCGTTTCCTTATTGGTCAATATTTATGGTCGTCTTAACTATGCAAATATACATTGTCTCTAGAGTAGTTCTAGACTGTATTCTGACCACATCAAACAATTTTGATCTGATCTGATCTGATATATTGAGGATTTGGGAAACAGAATTTGCGGTCGTACTGGAATATCTAAGGTGGTTGGGTTGGTCAATCGGCAGAATTTCGAGTAGCCACTTCGTGGACCCCAATAAGCATAATATGAATCACAATCAAAATCAACTTACAACATTATTTTATAAAGAGACATTTTACGCTTGGTTATTCTAATCTATTCGGTTACTCAAAGTTATTCTGTACATTATGAAACTATATTTTGAAAATGTGTACCTTATTATTTATCAACCCTTATGTTTTCATCCGATTAATGTTTGTGATTTATTTTCTTCAAGGTTGTCAATTCCATGTAGACAACTCCATACCGGTGGTCGTATTTGGTTGTCGCGTGCCAATAGCTTCACTAAAGTAAATAATTCATCCTTATTCTCATAATTTAATTGATGTTTATTTTTATGCTTTATGTGTTAACTGGTTGTAGAATTCTTTACTATTAACTGGTTACACCGGCGGATCATAAGATGTCACTACTCACTACTGTTTTTTAAAACTTCATATTTCTCATAGTTGGTTGTATTATTTGAGTCACTTGTCACACTAGATATGAACAAATAAGGATACAAATTTCTCATGTTTCAAAGTCCTAAATGTCTACAAGGATCATTCATTATTTAGGCCTCTTACATTAAAATGATCTGGTTCTACTTATTGACGGGATAATTATGAAATATACCGTTAACAACTCGGTCAAAAAAATTGGAAATTTTGGCAGTTATGACATATTGACTTTATACTGTATGCTTATATTATATATCAGGCTTCAGATCATGGAAACAAGTATTCTTAAGTAAATTTTTAAATTACATATATGCTTATTTACAAACTGTAAAGTAATCTGAATTTGAACATGTTTGTTGCTGCCTTCTTAGCCATAGTGTGCTTCACCAGTGAATGACATTAAAAACATTTAACATGCAGTATGTTGTAGGTGTTTCAAATATTCCTTTAGATTTTTTGATAACTATAAACTAATTGACATCACGGGGTTGTAAAGATTGTTAAGTTACACATTCGAAATCATGAATCGATCAATATTAGACCACCATTAGAAACCCAGAAGCAGTAGACGGCCGTTTCGTCCTGGTATGGGACTCCACAGCAGTGCGCATCAGCGGCTCCTGCACCCTCCAGGATTCGACGGTTAGGCGTTCACGCACAATACCGAAGGTCGCGGGTTCGCATCCTGCGGGGTGCAGGAGTCGTGGATGCGCAGTGCTGAGGAGTCCCATACCAGGACGAAACGGCCGTCCAGTGCTTCCAGATTTCTAATGGTGGTCTAACATTGATCGATTCATGGTTTCAAAAATGTGTAATTGAATAATAGTAGTCGTAGGCTATCACTGTCAGTCAGTCTGTCATTGACAACGTACAACTTCGTACTTACGTACTTGAATTCAGGTTGTCATATCTCACATTAGCACAGAGACGCAATTGTTTTTCTTACAACAACAAAGCCTTTAAGATCAGCAGCATTTCGACCTCGAATTATTTTAACCTACAAACCAAAAAAAGAACATATTACGTAGATCTTTATTAATTGACATTTATTGAAATATAATATGTTCAAATTAGAAAAAAAAGATTCCCTTTTGAAAATTAAGATTTTTTGTACTTATGCCTGCCTCACTTAATGGACTGGACTGCAGCCTATAATCATCAAATAAAACAACTATTTACAAGAAAATAACTAGTAGTTACAATAAACACAATTCCAAAAGTGGATGTATTTGTTGTATTTGAACTATATTCCACACATATAATCTTGTTCACTAGTTTCTATTATCCGGGGGGATCCTCTCCTAAGAATCTACATCACACACCCTAAATGACTCAAATCTATAGTCGTAGGTTAGTCCGTTGTTAGAAAAACAATAACCACCGACTGCCTCGACGAGCTATGTTTTGTGGTGTAGGCGAATGTTGGAAGAAATCTAAGGTTAGCCAAACCAAAACATGGCATAAATGCATGAAGTCACTGACAACTGGATTGAGTCATGTTGGTAGGTGTCGACTACCTGGTTGGGGTCCGCGAGATGATAGTAACGGATAGTTAGAGACTTTGAATGACATGGCTCAAAATCGTTTGCAGTGGCGCAGGTGCATCCACTCGTTGTGTTCTCAAATTCTAATCTTCTGAATTCCTCATCACCTTAATGTTCCTCTTTTGAAATTTATTTTACTGATTTATACATCTTGAATAATTTCTTCGAATACTTATCTTCATTAACGTTAATACTTCCACAATCTCTACTATTATCGGATTTGAATTGACAATTTCGTCTCTGTGCTAATTTAATATGGCAACCTGAACTGATGTACGTACGTACGTACGAAGTTTTATGTTGTTGACTGACTGACTGACAGAGTTATTGACTAGTTGAAAAGTTCATGCATGGAATAAACTAGTTTCTGAAAGATTTGTAAACATTTTCAGTGTAATTTACACATTTATATATTTGTGGTGTTTACATTTTTATCAACATTGAATTATTGATTTCATTACTATAAAATCATTGTTTTGATGGTTGTAAAAATAATGGGCACTTGATCGACTAACCTAAATGGTTGTAAATGAAAATAATGTCATAGTTATGTAGTCTGCTGTAATTTTTATGTATGATTGCTGTACAGTCCAAATAAAGTACGTGGGATTCAGATCAGGACCACATGTGCTAATTTAGAAACCAGGGTTTACTTAATCACTTAGGCCTGTTACTCTCAATGAAGCATAGGCCGCTAACTAGTATTCTCCAACCTACTCTGTCCTAGGTTTCCCTTTCCAGTTCTTTCCCATTTTTGTTCATTCTCCTCATATCTTTATCTAGTTCCCGGCGTAATATGTTCTTTCGCCTTCCTCTTTTCCTTTTACCTTGATGGTTCCTTATGAGGCAGTCAGGTGCTTTCCTCAATGTGTGTCCTGTCCACTTCCGTCGCTTCTTCCTAATTCCATCCTCCGCCGAAATCTGGTTTTTTCTATCCCACATTAGGTTGCTGCTGATGGTGTCTGGCCAACAAATCTGAAGTATTTTTCGTATACACAAACCAGGGTTACTTCATGAAAATTAGTTCAACCTTGCGGTCTTAATGATAATGCTTCTGATTGTGTTATTCAACATTTTAACTAAGTAGGTTCAGAAGCAGATCTTGTTTATGAGTGTCGATAAATCTGTAATCTTTGTTAAAAAATTTTAATCATTATAGGCCCTTAAATATTCAACATCTTGCCCGTTATTTTTTTCTGTTTGTAGACCATTCACAAAGTTCAGCATTCAATGAATATTCACATGAAAAACTGTCAGTTGTTTCACAGTTTGTTGTTGTACAGTCTTTCGTTTTTTTTTTGATTTTGTTGACGCTTTTTCATACTGTATATATTCTATTTGTTTTTGCCATAACTATTGTATTCTGATTAATATATAGAGTTCCAGTGATGATGATGATGATGATGTATCTATCTTTTCATATGGTTGTCATTTGACTAAGTGATTTAGTGCCTATGTCATATTTTACCCTCTTCATTAAATACATCTGCGCACACACACCGCGTTATCCCTGCTTCTCCATATACTTTGACATATTTTTTTTCTTCTCCTTGTCCATTTCACATTCATCCTTCTGATTCCATGAACTGGCGTTATTATTATTATGATGATGATGATTAATTATTTTTATGATTCACATCCAACCAACTCATTCATATTATCGATTTTCAAAGAAATTCACATTTTTTCTAAAACACAAAATACTACTTTATTATCGTTATTATTATTATTATTATTTTCTCAAATTTACAAATCACGTTTATTGTATGTCATTCATCTATTGTTATAATTGTTCATTAATTAACCAACAAATAATTGAAATACAATGTCACTTTTTAACAATAGCAACAACAACAACGTATGTTTTGATGTGTCGTCCGTCACATAACAATGTGAAGAAACTCGGTGAACAAAATTTCACATCACATCAAATTTTGTTTTGTTCTGTTTTTTTATGCATGCAGTTCGTTTCTGGAAAAAAAAGAAAAAAAGATTTGTATTTTACAATTCTGGTGTTCATCATGTTCAGTAATGCATCATCTATCACTAGCTGTTATCCATTGATTCAGTTTTCATTTTATGATAATAAATGAGTATTCACTGTTCAGTAAAACAAAAAAGTATTTGATGCTGACGATATTTTCCAATAAGATATTTAGACAGACAGACAGATGAGACAACGCAGGACTTCGTACGTACGTACGTGCATCGATTCAGACTGCCATATCGCATTAGCACAGAGATGCAACTGTCAGTTCAAATCCAATAGTAGTAGAGATAGTAGAAGTATTAACAGTAATGGATAAGATTAGGGTTCGAAGATATGATTCGAGAAGCATAATTCAGTGAGATAAATTTAGAAAGAGAAAGATAGAGATGATGAAGAGTTTAGAAGGTTAGAATTTGAGAGAACACAAAGAGTGGATGCAGAATAAGATATTTAATTAATGCTTATTCATGCTTATGATTGGAGATTACGTATGTTACTCGATGTGGAGTATAGGCCACTGACTGGGATATTCCAACCAATACGCAACTGTGATGCGGAAATCTGGTACCATATGCTTAAGGATATTGGCTCAGTACTCACTAACTTTGAACAAAGAGGAGGAAAACAAGACTAATGATCACCACTTCAGGATCTTTTTCTATTTTTCAGACATTTATATCCATGCAAACTAGATCACGTAGCAACCAATTGAGTAACGGTATTAACGAGAAGCGGCAACAGTAATCATGCAATAAATAGAGTACTGGGTACACAAATAATCGGTCCCAGTTTACAACTAGAGATTCCATACGGTTAATAAAAACTTGGAACTAGGGTAATATGAAAATAATAGAACCAAAATACTTTGAAATTTTTTTTACCTCTGTTCAATCGTCTTTCACAACATCCTCTTTTTAAGTGTTCTCACTGTGACCTGTTTTAAGGGCTCATTTTAATCCTGCTTGGTTTTCTTCAGGGTGTACCCATTCCTTTATTCAATGTTCTTGTTTTTACATCAACAAACTTATTCAGCGGCATATTGATTTCCTCTCTCTGCATCTAAGCTGTTGTATGTAGTTGGATTACCTCTCTTTTCGTGTTACCAACTTTGATTTGGTAGGTGGCTTTCCCATACTGCTTGGATTAATTCCGTGTATCCAACCCATCTTCGGACGGTGAAAATAACTCGTCCTGAGGAGAATCTTTTAAGTTTTGCTCCATGTTTCTTGTTGTACTACTTCTCTGCTTTTATGTATTGCCCAGTAGTCGTTATAGCATGTTACTTCAAATTGTACAGTGGAATTTTAATGTTTCTTTGGGACATTGTTTCGACCGGAGAAACTTTCCAAACCGTTGTCTTATACGGTTTTTCATGGTAGGTGTTAGATTCATTGGAATAGCGGTCGAATTCACCTGGATAACGCATTCGAGGTCTACTTAAGTTGACAGACTCTCGGTTACTCGGATATATTGTATTGTATATAAATACTATAAACATGGTTCTACAATAAATCGTAATTAATTGAATTTAAGCTTACACTCAGGATGATAAAACAACAACAGCAGTTTTTTATAAAGCAGTCCAACATAAAAAAAGTGACGGGTTCAAAATGACTTACAATCAACAAGAACATTTTCGATTTATCGATAATTAACTCAACCGATAGGATACAAGGGAGAGGGGATGAATCTTGATTACTAATAAGTAATACAGCCGTAAACGCGAATTTCACAGTAGGCAAATGAAGACTGATATTCCTACTATTCTTACCCTCCCCTCTTGGACTTTCAGCGATGCTCTCTTGAAAGTGTAGACATACGTCAAACCTATCCATTAAATCGAAAGCGATGTGGGGAATCGCGACATATTTAGAACCACGAATAATGAAATTCCATAAACGAGAATTGTGGAACATTGTCGGGAATTATGGTTTCCGGAAAAGTGAAACAGCTAAATGTTTGACGTAGCCTTGTCTTAGTCGAAGGAAATTCCATTCAGTCTACTTCGGTCATCTCGAAAATGCGTATATAGCCACTGAGAAATATCATCGACTGACCCGGCGAAATTCACACAGTCTCGGCCATGAATGTGTCGAGGTTTCTTAGCAAGTGTTCAGACTTCTGGGAGTCCTTTGCTCCATTCGAATACATAATTCTCCATTTCAGCGTCAATGCTTGGTTCAGAATATAATTGAGACTAAACTATGACGCTAGCATTATGTTTCGACTACACGGTCTCCGAACATATCCATGTCAGAGATAGTCAAGTCGTTGGGAGTATTGCTCACTGGCATTTAACTTTGGAGGTCAAACCTTGTAGTAGATAACGAATAACCCTTTGACCTCACCGTATACTTGAATAGTAAATCTAATATCCCATGTGTTTGTATTGTAGTTTGTAGTATCTACTTAATATCTACTTCCAGGTGCACAAAGGGCAATCAAGACATATTTGTGTTTCGAACTTCACTTTCTCAGTTAACCTGGAGAGAACATTCATTGATTTGACCAGAATTTGTAGTGATTTGTAAAATCATAAGCGAGTAACGTTATTGCTCAGCGTTATAAATGATTAGTAACATACACCGGGCAACAGTGTAAGTAGACACATGCTGAGTATTTTGCGTATAAACTAGTATAAGAGTGCATTGTGTTTCATGAATAAGGGCTTAGGTAAAGATTCGATTTGACTGTTATACTATCAAACGAAAAAGTAATAAGCGTTTGAACACTTCATAGTATCATTTTTATTTGAGAAGAGTTAACATTGTAAACATTCTGAGCACTACACATATATTTCTAGCGCTCATTATTTGTATGACTGTTCACATTTAGCCTGAAGGTACTTTGGGAGTGTACAGAGCAGCTTGCCCAATGGAAACTGAGGAGGAAAAAAAGTAGGCCGAAGACTCATTTTACATGTATTTAGTGAACGTGTTAAATTTGAAGTAGGGCTCATCATTTTAGTAACCTGTGATTTGACTCCAATTTGAAAGAATGATAGAGTATGTGGTCCCTATATTATACTTATACAAATCTTGTTTGTGCAATGACGGTAATAAGAAGCCAAATACGATTTCACGGTTGAATTTATTTCATGCATTCATTTAAGCAGACAGACATGAGAATGAAAAACGTTCAGGCAAAGCAAAGCGAATTGGAGTAGGCGAGTAAGTCAACTCTTATGCGTTGAAGCATAACTAAGTGTACATAGTCAGACTACAATAGTCTAGGCATGTAATAAGAATAATTACAAATTAAAAAAAGTGGTCGATACGATTATTGAATACATTCAACGTCTAATTATTAAAGTTGGTATAATGAATAAATGATGAGGTGCTACAATAGCTTCCCCCCATCGAACAAAGTTATGGTCAATAAAATTATGAGCCCTACTTCGAATTTAATACGGCCACTGAAAGTGGTGCTCTGACAACGAACATAACGCAACCTGAAGAACTAGATAGACAAAGAAGCTCTCAAACTCAATGTATTCGATGAATGAATCAACATATTAAGCTAGATGAACAACACATTCTCGCATCCAACGCACGCAGCGAAGCCAGTTCAATAAGGATATGACCATACAAAGATCTTATTATCCTCCTTATTCCGTTCATGTATCAACTCGCATCAATATTCTTGATTAAAGTGAGATCGTTCCATTTCTTTTTGTCGTATCTCATTATTATATTCTGAATCATCCATCACAGCAGGAGCTCTATGACTATGACAGGACAGATATGTTCGATGTACTGATTAGCTCCTCGTACTCCGAACATCTTGAAACCTGCTAAGTGAATTGGTGGTATGATGACACGCGCATGAACACGAACCGTCAGTATAAGCAGTAGAGTGAATCTCCTACACGCTAATAATAGCATGTTTTCGACTACCCCAATGCTGGCAACGGTTTGCAACGCTATCATAGACATAAGTTTGGAGTTATACACTGATTGGTAGTAACTTATTTTCTCGATATGCAACTCATGTTCGTCATTAGCATTCATCCTATTTGTTCGCGCATTTGCAACTGCACTCTAAATTGATTACTCTCGAACATTGTACGAATTATTGCAAATAATACCATTTCATACTATTACAAATCAGGACATAGAGAGTTTAGAGCTAGTCTCTCAAAGAAACACTCTGATGTTCATCGTATTCCAGTCAGTTTTACTTGTCCAACGTACACAGTCGTATGGATTAATATTTTCTTCATACACGAACTAAAGTTTACACCTATTTGTAATAACTTAGAAGACAGTCTTTATCTTACATCTTGATTTCAAAAATTTTGATATTTTTCGTAGGTATTTTCACTAACATCGACACCTTTGTATTTTTGTTTGATGCGCTAGAGCTATCGTAGCACTTCAACAGTTTCAAGTGCAGCCACAAGTACAACATAGTCAAAGTCGGATTGTATAGTAATTAATTACAAGTGCAAGTTGATTAGAATATAATTATTATTGAAACAAAATACAAATATCGTTTTGAATTTTTAAACAAAATTATCGGTAATCAATGGGTAAGCTGAAATTTTCAAACTTCAAATGAGAATTTCACTATTGAAATTGATATTCATTGATCATTATACACTAATCAAAAACTCTATCGGACAACTCGAGATAATTGAAATAGTGGGAAAAACATTCATCAATGAGTTAGAAAGATTTTGTTGTTTGTTACCTATCAACTTATTTAGGACATACATATTGATGAAAGCATCCATCCAACTGTGTCACAAGACCATGCCCTAAATTGGAGTCCTCAAGACCAAAGGAAAAGAGGAAGACCGAATAAAACACAATACATCGAGAGAATGGAGATACACTAGGAAAGAATGAACAACAGTCGGGTAGAATTAGAATGGATGGATTCAGGGTAGAGTAGGTTGGAGAATTCTGGTCGTTGGTCTATGCTCGATTAAGGGTAACATACGAAAGTAAGTAAGTAAGTAAGTGCATAAGTAAGTAAGTAAGTAAGTAAGTAAGTAAGTAAGTAAGTAAGTAAGTTAGTAAGTAAGTAAGTAAGTAAGTAAGTAAGTAAGTAAATAAGTAAGTAAGTAAGTAAGTAAGTAAGTAAGTAAGTAAGTAAGTAAGTTAGTAAGTAAGTAAGTAAGTAAGTAAGTAAGTAAGTAA